TCCGACGGAAATTTCGTCGAATGGTTGTCGGAAAACCTTTTGTCGGAAAATGGGCCTTTTCCGACGGAATTTAGTCCGCCGGAAGTGATTTAAAGGCCTGAAATAGTCCGTCGGAAATGTACAATGGACTGTATTCCGCCGGAAATTTCCGACGAAAATTCCGTCGGAAAATGCTTTTAAAAAAACAAAAAAAAATGCCTACCCCCACCAGATCCTCCTCAAGGACCTCAAGAGAAGAGAGGAATTCAAAAGTAATCCGAGAGTAAGTAGGAGCATGAAGGCTTAGGAATTCCTCTAACCCCAAGTTTTGAGCCAAAAATCTCACATCATCGTCGATACCCAACAAAGTAGTCGCCAACAAATCATAGAATCTAGTAGAAAAGAGTGTCCGAGTTGAAATCTTTGCAAATTTCTCCCAATGCTCTTCCTTTGTGAACTCAATTTCATAAGTCTCTGAAATGTGGGAAGGAGCAGGAACCACCTCTTTATAGGTAAAGCATCTAGCTCTCTTAGCTCGTCGGAGAGGAACCATTCTACACACATAATTGAAAAATGCTCTAGTGAGTAAGGACAATGAGTCACAAGTATGCATCATGAGCAACAACACTCCAAATCATCATAAAAAACAAACTATGCACATTAACATTCCCATATCAATATAATCAAACTATAATTCCAACAAAGGTGGTGCCAAAATTATGGTATGGTCAAGCAAAATCATCAAACACAAGTTCATATAATCACCAAAATTTCATCATTAACACAACAAATGAAGTAGATAGTAGGCAAATGCATACATTAAAGAGGCTATAACCAAATCAATCTAAACACTCATCAACAACCAAGGTAGAAAATTTATCATAAGTATCAATAGAAATGAAGAAATCATACCTTAGATTGATGAGAGTTTACAAAGAAGTGGAACACAAAGCATTAAAAACACAATTATGCCAAATTGCAAGCAACAAACCCCAAACCAAAGGGATACCCAAAAATCCCAACTTCAGGAAAGAGAAAATCACAATGAAAGTGTTAGAGTAGGGATTAAGAGTAATAAACAACTAGATGAAGTGAAAATGGTGAAATTTCAGTAGTAAAATAATGAAGGAAAATGGTGATGATGCTTGAACAATAACCAAGTAGAAATGAAAAGAAAATAAGAGAGAGAAAAAGAGAGAAGGTCGGTGCGTTTAAGGGGCATCAGCAGGGGGTGCACGACCGCGCCTTAGTCGCCCGCACCCGCGCCCTTCTAGGTATGCCATCTTCCGAATCCCTTCTCGTGAGCACATCGGTGAGTACAAGGGAAATGATCATGATAAAGGTGGAGGCAAGCAGTTTCTAAACCCCAAGAATGTGGGTTCAACACAAGATTTTATGAGCCCACCATTTGAACCCACCAAACTTCAACTTTTAAGCATACTTCCAATTCACCAACTTGAGCACTTTCTCTTCAAAATAGGAACCAAAATTGTTGGAAATCCAATCAAAACCTCCTAAAAACACAATCAAGAAAAGAAATCAAATAAGAATAGAAACAACAAAAAGAAAACAAAAATCAAGGAAAATAGAGAAAATGGTTAGAAACTCGGGTTGCCTCTCGAAAAGCGCTTGTTTAAAGTCATTAGCTTGACATTCTCCACCCTTTAAGGTGGATCAAAAAGATTCATATCATGAACAACCCCCACACAAAATCCATCATAGTAGCGCTTGAGCCTATGACCATTGACTTTGAAAGTTCTTGAAAAATCCAAAGGAGATATTTCAACCGCACCATTAGGAAAAACCTCTTGAACAAAAAAAGGACCACTCCAACGAGACATTAGCTTCCCGGGAAATAATCTCATCCTAGAATTGTAAAGGAGGACCTTGTCGCCAACATTGAACTCCTTCTTCACAATGAGTTTATCATGCACTTCCATAGTGCGAGTTTTGTACATGCTTGCACAATTATAAGCATCCAATCGAAGTTCTTCCAACTCATGGAGATTATATATGAAGAACAACTACACTAATCAACAATCAAACATCAAAACACAATTGATAATCTCTCAACACACCCTACACAAAGCATAGAGTAAGTTGAGGGTCGAACCACTAGGAATGGGAAATGAATGCTAAAGTCAAAGCTAAGCTGTTTCGAATCAATAAAGTGAGGTGTGTGTATTCAAAACAATCCAACAATCTCAATGAAATCAAGTTTAACAAGCACTAGGGTTAGGATCCGCATGTACTCGGAATGGACATAGCTAATTGTGATTGGAGATGACTAAGTCAAGTGTTGCGAGGGAAAATCAACTAGCAATCAAGAGAGTAAGGTAGGCTAATCTCATAGAGGTCAAGCTAGCGCCAACTACGAGAGACTCTAACTAGGAACCTTGCAAACCTACTCAATCGACAAAAGCAAGCCACAAATCAATTTTCCGTATCAATGCAAGCTTACAATGCATTCTAGTGTAACAAATCAAAGTTAGCTACTCTTCAATTAATCACACACATGCACTTAATCATCAACCAATTTAATAACAACATCAACTCCATCAATTTCCCCCAATAGCATCAATCCATCCCTCATACATGCTTCACCATTCCCCTAGCAAGAGAACTACTCACAATCCATTGAAATTAAGATCAAAGCTAAGCTAATCAACAATTTCATTATCATCACATAAATAGAACTAATTCAATCACAAATTCAATTCAAACTTGAAAAATCAACAAAGCAATTGAAATGATAAGCTAAAAATTGCATTAAAGTAAAAGAAATCCTTACAAACTTGCTTCAATTCAATGGAGGAAATGCTAGAATTAACAATCTTCAATCATCAATCAACAATCAAGAACTTCTCTCTCTATAATCTAGAGTTTCTCTCTCTAAAATTCCAAGCCTAATTTAAGAATTAATTCTCTAAAATCTTCTCTAATGATTCTCTAATCATCATCCCTCTAAAAATAGAAAGAAAATCTATATATAGTAAAACTAACTAAGAGAAGTTAGTTAGATCGTCCCCAAATAAACCCATACAGGCGCAGCCAACCATAAGGAAGAGCGCGGCCGCGCAAATCTGGGTACAGAACAGGGACCCAGACAGGCGCTCCCGCGCCATAGTCGCGTGCGCCCGCGCCTAGGAGCAGGGCAGCCTCCTTCCCTATCATTCTAATGCTCCTCGTACGTTCCACTTAACGCTCTTGATAAACACGGGACCTTGTAGTTTCTAAACTCCATGTTTGCGGGTTTAAGACTAGAAATCATGCCCCCACGGCTTGAATGCACAGCTCAAGGACTTTAGGAACTTGCACTTCTCCATGCTTGAGCTTCAAATGGAGAACACTAGACATCCTAATCAATGCAGAACTTGGGAATAGGCCTCGGGAAACTTGGATAACGACCTTAACCTGAAAAATAAAGGAAAACAAGCAAATAAAAGAGAAAATAACAAAATAAACCAAGAAATGCATAAAGAAAGAAATCAAACTAAGAAAATGCAAACTAAAAGAAATAAAGAGTAAAATTAAGGAAAAGCTAAGTAAAAGAGCTCTGGAATAGAATGAAATTCATCCTAAAAAGAACCAAATGAGTGCCATAAATGACACTCATCAAATTCCCCTTCCCAATTTAAAGATGAAAGTTATTTTATGGAATCTTCAAGGTGCAAATAAAAATGATTTTCTTCTTGATGCTTCTCAAATTATTGATAATCACAAGCCAACAATCTTCATCTTCTTAGAAACGAAGAGCGATGATATTCGTGCTCGACAAGTCATGTTACAACTAGGGTTTCATGACTTCAAGGCCATTCAACCAACTGTAAGGCGCAGTGGCGGACCCAGGAATTTCCGACTGGTGAGTCACAATCGATAATCAAATATGTAAAAAAATTTTTTTACCAAACAACCAAATAATAGTACTAAAAAATACATCCAAATATTCAAACAATACAAAATACAACCAATAGGCAGCATCCTTTTCCACACTATACTCAAGCCAAGTCCAAGTACCAAACCACTTAGCACAAAAGCGACGGTTTTTGCCAAAAATAGAAGTTTGAGAAAATACAAAGTCTTTGGGCTGACAAGGCTTTCTTTGAATGTAAATTCTTCTCACTAAATCTCTATCATCTTTATGAAATTCACTCATCTTTCTCCTCTTTCCTGGATCTTGTGGAAGATTAGCAAATTCATGTTCACTTAATCTTTCATCAAAGATTGGGGCATTAGGAGAACATTGGTCTTGTTCATTTTGAGGGGAATTTTAAGTTGAATAATGAGATGGAGATGAATGTTGTTCACTTTCTTGAGGTTGAGATATAGTTTGTTCATTTTGTGTTGGATGTGGAAGAGAAGTTGGAGTAGGATTCTTTTTAGCAAAAAAGCTAGTAATGTTTTGCATTTCATTTGGAATGCGTTTTCTCTTCATTCTGAAATTACAAGACTAAAATTAACAAACTAATAACTAACAAGCTAATAAACACCCTAACTACTGTTCTCCGTGTAATAACAGTTTAAACAATTTACAGCAACAATCACAAGAAAAAACTTAAGAATGATTTAAGGTTTATGTAACCACAATTCAGACACAATGTTTTACAATTCCTGAATCCGCCTAGTCTATACGGAACTTCCAGCCAAATATGCGACTAGAACCACTAACCAGTCCACACTGTAATCTAATTATAAATTTATAATCCTCCTTACACTAATAGCTGTCTTATACAATGTCCGGCATCAAATAAAATAATAAGTTCAATTTAACAGTCAAAACACAAATAATGCAAATTCAATGAACATTCATCGTATATACTAATTTTAAGCAACAAGTAATGCAAATTTGATCAGAAATTCACACAAAAATAAAAGAATAAATTGATGATTACCTTGCCAGACGACAGACGCTGATTGAGGCGAGTAGGCGGAGCAGCAGGGCCAGCACTGGAGGCGACGAGGCGTGAGCCGATGAGCGAAGAGGAAGCGTTAACTACAAATCAACCAAAGTTTAAACCAAAGTTTAATAAAATTAACTAATTAGGCTGAATTAAATTGAAGATAAGAAATTAAAAATAAAAATTAGAAATCAACTTACTAGTGAATTAGCAATTGCGTCGAAGCGATTGCGAAGAGGCGAAGAGCAGTGACCACGGAGACGGAGCAGGAAAGCATCAAGCAGGCAAGCAGCAGAGGCAGAGCAGGCGACTGGAGGGTGGCTGGGTGGAGGCAGTCTGGTGAAGATGAAGCGAAGAGGAAGTCAAGAGGCGAAGAGGGAAGAGCAGCTGAGGAGGCAGTGGGCTAGGGCTTGAGGAAGTGGGAAGTTAGATTTTTTTTTTATTTTTTTTTTTAAAAAAAAAAAAACTTAAAATTTTTTTTGGGCCCTGGTGAGTCATTTGACCCACCAGGCACAAGGCCCAGTCCGCCACTGGTAAGGCGTGGAGGAATTTGGTTGTTTTGGAAAAACACGGTTGATCTTCCCTCTTACTCTTATGATCCTCATCGTTTTCATGCCTTGTTTCATTTTAAAAATGGAGCTCCTGAGGCCCTTATCACCGGGATGCATGCTCCAAGCAATCCCTCTGATCGTCATAATTATTGGAACGAAATGGCTGAGGATGTTCTTCCCTATTCTACCCCATGGTTGATGCTCGGAAATTTAAATGAGGTTACTTCTCAATCGGAGAAGTCTGGTGGTCGTAGCTTTCGTCCCTCTCAATGCCATGATTTGAACAATTTCATGGATAAAGCGAGTATGATCGACCTTGGCTTTAATGGCAATCCTTTTATTTGGAATAATGCTAGGGATATCATTGATCACATTTGTGAGAGACTTGATCGAGCTCTTGGTAGTGCAAAGTGGTTGGAGTCCTTCCCCAACACTAAGGTAATCCACCTTCTAGGAACTCACTTTGATCATTCACCAATTTTAGTTTGCTTAAATAATTTTACAAAAAAGAAAAAATAATTTAGGCTCAAAAGGCAAGGATTAATTGGAGGACGTTTGGGGATTTAAATACAAAGTATTTCCATGTTATAGCTTCAGTAAAAAAAAAATCTCGTGGCAAAATTGTGTGCTTAAAAGATAAAAATGATAATTGGGTTTTGGATCAATCTTTACTAAAGGATATGGCTTCAGATCATTTTCAAGATTTATTTTCATCTTCTATCCCTACTGATTTTATCCAGCCTCATTTTATCCCTTCTCACAAAATAGATGCCTCTACCGCTTCACATCTTGCTGCCATCCCCTCTTTATCTGAAGTAAGGAAGTGTCTTTTTAGTATGCAACCAATGAATTACCCTGGTCCCGATGGCATTCAACCAAGGTTTTTTCAGTTCTATTGGGATGATTTGGGAGGCATTCTTCATAAATTTTGTGTTGAGTGTTTCACTTCTAGAGCCCTTCCTTCACAAATCAATTCTTCCTACATTTCCCTTATTCCCAAAAAGGCTCAACCGGATTACATTACGGATTTTAGGCCAATTGGTCTTTGTAATTCAATACATAAATTAATGACAAAGATTATTTCTTCTAGAATTCGTCCTCTCCTCTCTTCTCTTGTCAATCCTGTTCAATCAAATTTCATTCAAGGGAGGGGGATAGAAGATAATATCATAGGGATTAAGGAAGTTGCCAATCTTTTTAAAAAGGCTAAGAAAGAGAAACAAATCATGGTTTTAAAGCTTGATCTTGCTAAAGCTTATGATAGTCTTGAATGGAGTTTCATCGATGTTACCCTTAGAGATTTCGAATTTCCTGACTCCTTGGTTGATCTTATTATGGCTTGCATGACCACTCCAAAAATATCAGTTTTGTGGAATGGTCAAATAACCAATGACTTTTCTCCTACTCGGGGAATAATACAAGGAGATCCAATTTCTTCTTATATCTTTGTTCTTTGTTTAGAAAGATTATCTTTGATGATTGAACATGCTGTGCACTCAAAATCTTGGAAGCCTCTCAAAATTTCTAGGAATACATCCCTTTCACATCTTTTTTACGCCGATGATGTATTCCTTTTTGGCCACGCTTCTTCTAATTTGGACAATATCATGAGTGTTATCAAAGAGTTTGGAACGCTTTTTGGTTTAAAGGTCAATACGGTTAAGTCTTCTATCATTTTTCCTCCTTCAATGGCATATCAAGTCAAACAACAAATAGCCTGTTCTTTCCCTTTCAAGATTTCTTCCACCTTTGGTAGATATCCTGGCATCGAAATCAGTCCCAATAAGCTTAAAGTTTCACACTATTTCAACCTTCTTCAAAAAAAAAAAAAAAAAAAAAAAAAAAAAAAAAAAAAAAAAAAACCTTGGATAGAATCAAAGGATGGCAAGCTAAGCTTCTCAATATTGCTGGTAGGAAAACCTTAATCAAATTTATTCTAAACTCCTACCCGGTCTATGCTAGGCAAACTAACTTGCTTCCTATTTCTATGATTCATTCTCTTGAAAAAAATTGTAGAAAATATTTATGGAATAAAGTTGATAGATCAAGGTACATTCCAAGGACTAGTTGGTCTACTGTCACTAAACCTATGGCTATTGGAGGATTGGGGATTTGGCGTTTATGAGAGTGGAACATAGCCTTTATGGCTAAGTTGGGGTGGCATATGCTTACTGACCATTCTAAAGTTTGGGTTAGGATCTTTAATGACAAATATCTCCATCGTTAAGCTCTTTTCGATTGTGAACCAAAAACCTATCACTCCCCTATTTGGAGAGATTTGTTGAAAGGAAGAGTTGTTCTAGCCTCGGGAATGATTATTGGTATAGGAAATGCTGAGTCAACCTCCCTTTGGTATCGCCATTGGATTGGTAAAAAGCCCCTTTATCATTATCTCAATGGTAATGTCCCCCCTTCCAAAGCTCATTGGGCTATCTCTAATATTATAAGAAACAAAGCCTGGTTTCTTGATGATATTAGGCATCTCCTTCCTGATTCAATCCTTAATCTCATTCGCTCAACTCCTATTTCCACAAACTCGGATTTGGAGGATTTTATAAAGTGGGCACCCTCTAAGGATGGGAATTTCTCGATCAAGTCTGCTTATCATCTTCAATGTTCCTTATCTCATTCTAGTGACATTCGCCAAGCCTCTCAAAATTCCATATGGAAAAAGATCTGGAAAATAAAGACTCCTCATAAGTATAATATGCTTTTATGGCATTGTACTCACTCTATACTTCCAGTAGCTGCTTCCCTTTCCATCCTTATTCCTGCCATTTCCCCCACTTGCTGCAGATGCAGTTTATTTGAGGAAACTCATCTTCAGCTCTTCAAAGATTGTATCTCTTCTTCCATCTTGTGGAATTATAGTCTACAAAGGCTTCCGGTTCCAAAAAATTTTGATTTCTCTTCTTTTTAAAAACTTGGATTGGGATGGTTGGATATCTTTTAATTTATTTTACTCTGATAATTGGAAGATGATCTTTTGCACTTGTCTTTGGCATATTTGGAAGGATCGAAATGCTGCTGTGTTTGAGCTAAAAATGTTTCGGCCAATTCATACTTACGGCAAATTCTTTGTTGACTACCACACAAATGCTCATATTCTGCAGGGGAAAGGAAAAATGGATGCTAAGGATCGGTCAATCTCTAACTGGATTCCCCCAAGAGAAGGTTTCATGAAATTAAACACTGACGAGGCTTGGAAACATTCAACTTGCTTCTGGTGGTGGGGTTATTCGTAGGAGCAATGGTCATTGGTTCTTTGGATTTTCTAGTAAGTATAATGCTGTCTCTTCTCTGGCAGCTGAGTTATTTGCTATGCGTGAAGGTCTCAACATTGCTATTGAATTCAGAGTTAAGAAAATTGAATTGGAAACTGATTCTGAGTACCTTGGAAAGCTTTTCAACTATGTGGATCATGTTCCACATAATGAATTATATGCTTTGATCAATGATGTAGCAGAAATCTTGAGGACTAATGGTAACATTGTTATTCGCCATGTTCCAAGAGAAAGAAATACTTTGGCTCATAGCCTTGCTGCCTATGGCTTGGAGATCAGATGAACCTTGGCCACAAAGATCATTTCCTGGTTCCTCCATTTGCAAAGCACATCTATGATGGAGCCTCTTCTTCATTAGGGTAGTTGTTTTTCCAGTTGGTTCTCGTCGGTGTGGATGTCTCCTTTTGGTGTTGATGATGTTGAAGTTAGTGTTGTTCATAATCTACTAGAACTAGTTTGCTTTACTTTGTTTATTTCTAAGTGTATGTTTGTATTATAATTATCTCTCTAGTTCCTATCCTTATGATAGTGATACTAATCGGATTTGTACTAGGTGTCAGAATCAATACTCCTATCCCAGCTTAATGTTTTGGACTTGTGAAGTCTGGGCTAATAGGATATTGGCTTTTGCTGTAAAATACTTTAAGGCTTTTATAAGATCTTCGTTTTGTGTTAAAAATATACAAGACTTTTATCAATATTTTGCCAGTAATATAAGATCTTCGTTTTGTGTTAAAAATATACAAGACTTTTATCAATATTTTGGTGCTTTTTGGAATTAGTTACGTAGTAAAATAAATTTCATCTTATAAGTTTTGATTTATTCGACTTATTTTTGATTGAGCTTTAAGGCGAATTATCTTAATTAAACAAATAAATACTTATTAAAATATCAATATTTATATTGTCTTAAAAAAAAAACCTTATAATTTTGTGAGGAAAAAATTATTGTACTTATTTTGTTTGGGATAATCAAAAGGTGTTTTATTTTTGTTTCACTGATGAAAGGTCATATTATTCTTCACAATTTTCGCAAATTTTAAGATACACCATGGTGCCTATACTTTTGAACATTTAGTAAAAAAAAATCTGAACAATTGCAAATTTTGAACATGTAATAAAAACATTTGAACATCGCATATTTTGAACATGTAGTTAAAAAATCTGAACAATCGCAATGCATCACGACTATACTTTTGAATATTTAGTTAAAAAATCTGAACAATCGTGAATTTTGAACATTTAGTAAAAAATCTGAACATTGCAATTTTTGAACATTTAATAAAAAAATCTGAACAATCGCAATGCACCACACACAAATACTTTTGAATATTTAATAAAAAAAAATATGAACAATAACAAATTTTGAACATTTAGTAAAAAAAACGAACAATCGCAAATTTTGAATTATTACGAGTCAAACAAATTTTGAAAGAAGTTTGTCTGACTCGTAATAATTCAATAGTTTTATAATATAAACTGAACATTTATTGTATAAAAAATGAACATTTCTTTAAAAAATATGAATATAAAAATTGCATGTTTATGTTCAGTTTTTGTGACGGGTTCATATTTTTTTTTTTTACTAAATGTTCATTTTTTTTGTAAAATGTTCAAATTTTTTTACTAAATGTTCAAAAGTATAGATGTGGACCGGAAATTTCAGAAAAAAATATAAAAATACCCGGTAAAATTAAGCCGGGTCAGCGGGTCGTCGGGTCGGGTTAGTCGGGTCAGGTATTTTTGAACACCCCCAGATGTGGTGCACTTATTTCTAGGTGCACATATACTAATTGCACAATTTTTCCTTTTTAGTTTGGTTTTGTTTGGACCTAATTTTCTTACACATAAAAGCTCATATGATTTTGAGGTGAATTATTAAATGAACCTGATTCACACTAATTTATTAAGAGCCGCTAATATTAAAGAAAATATGGTTGTTTTATTAATAAATAACAAAGGTCATTATAATAAAAATAAGGTCAGTATATTGAAATAAACTCATTTTGGTAATATATAGGCAGATAGGCTATAAGAGGTTAATTTTTTTAATGAAATATTTTATATACTGATCAACATGAATAATAAAGGTCACTATGTTAAAATGAGGATCATAACGTCGTATTCAAATTCACAATAATATTAAACGTTCTTTAATAAAGGTTACCACCTTAAAAATAAGGTTACTATGTTAAAAATAAGGGTCATTATGTTGAATATAATGTCAGTTACGTATGTATAAATCTCGGGTCCACAATAATATTATTTTGAACCAGGTTCACGCAAGATTTTTTGATGATTTTAATCGCATCAAATTATAATCTAATTCAGGGTATCAACTTTTACTTAGATTCTCTTCATCCTTTATTCTACACTTCCGATTTTCTGTTCCAAAGTAACGAAGGAAACTAAACAAAGATCGTTCAAAGATCAATGCCCTTACATGTATAAAATATTTTGCTTAAGATGCAAGATTCACAGTACCAGGCAGTCTACATGAACAATTGCATCATACAATCAGATTAGACATGATTTGCATAGCCATGGCCAATTGTTATTTGCCAAACACGACAAAGCAAACAAAATGACTTCAAACAGCTTGCATAATGTCAAGAGTGTAAAATCATACAGATCGCAAACCTTTTTATTCCCTGTAAAATACATTTTATATTGTAACCAATTGAATATGCATGAACTATCTACGAGTTCATATCACATCTGATAAATAATAAAAGCATAAGTACATCATTGCTCATAACATGAGCCTGGACCTGTAGGTGGACGTCGAGCATAGAAGTTAGTAAGAGGAGCAGCTTGAACACCACGCATGTTCAGGAGGCATCTGAAGTAATGCAATCGGGGTAGTGCTGTTTTGTTAATGTTTTCTAACGTTGTAGCTTCTCTCGTACTCCATAAGCGTTCTAAATAAAAAGGTTGGTTGACAATCAGGAGAAAATTAGGCAGAAGCATATACACGTATAATTCAAACTGCAGCCACTACCCTGTCAAGCGGGGCAGAATTTATGATATTGAGACAATGGATGAGCAATCTAGCAAGCAGATTGCTTTATACACAGATTATGACAGCTAAGGCAATGAGACAGAGACAAGACTAAGTTAGAAACCTATACGTCGTTACCTTTTGGAAGAACAGAAGAAACAAATCAAAGTTAAACCAGTTAATTTACTTACTGCACAAAAACCACTGAAACAAACAAATGAGACTAGGACCGGGTGTAATTTATTGACCCAGGCTTGTAAGTGAACTACTTTCAACTGCAAGTACAAAATCTATTGGTGGTCCCTCAAAACTTCAAAATCCCATGATAAAGCCATAAATTATGTAAAGTGATCCAATATATTTGGAGATGGGTTTCTGCGAAGTAGGATGCCTCAATGCTAGCAACACAGATGAGAATTTATATCTAGCTACAGGCGTGGCAAAATTGAATGGTGACGTAGGACACCTTGAAGCTAGAGTAAGACATTAAAAACAGTTAATATCAAAGTTACAGTACATGTGAAAAAGTAGACTAGTAGGTGGGATGACCTGAGAAGGCTGAGATCCAACCAACCCAAGTAACAGGGTTTGGTTTGATTTAGAATATTAATCCATGTTCATTTAAGGCGCTATAAACTACACGGTAGTAAAGGAACTTAACAAAACTACTTTCTTTTGGTCTGGTTTTAGGGTTAAGTCCTTAAAAAGACAAGTTCACCATCACTATCACCTTCATCTTCACCTTTGGCAATTCTAGGAGACTTGCCATAGTTTAATCTATGACCTTCAGACCTTCAGATCACAAAGAGCGCCTCAAGTTTAAAACTAGCTAGCTCACGCTCTAATGATAGTAGGGGGCTGTCCAGCACCACATCACAATTATTAATTTATTATTGGCATAAATGCCATCATCTCAAATCACGTCAAAGGTCAATGCCGAGTACTTTGTTGCCAAATAATTCACAAGGAGTAAGAGAGGGGAATTCCAAACTGGTCAGTATGATCAACACACACCAATTTTTTTTTTCTTCAAAAGATGTGATCACTAAATGTACCTGCAGCAGCAGCAGCTCGTGGCCATATTGTTTGCTGAATATCTGAAGTATCAGCTGTCTCACCCCACATGCATACTTCTCCTCCAAGAATCATCTTTTGCTGAGTAACATTAGTAATTCCCTCCAAGGGATCTGCCTCATAAACAGGTTGCCAAGGGACGTCTAGATGATCAAGGTACCAAACACCTTGATTGCTAAATATACATCTAAATCCTTTAGCCACAGCCTTGGGACAGATTCCAGAAACCAGCCTACCACCAATTTGCACTTGTTACATAATTATAGTCAATCAAAATATCTTATAAAGTAACAAGACATAAAACTCTAGATTTGACTGAGATGCAACTTTACCAGTTATGCACAACTGTTCTTGGATTCAGCTTCGAGGGGAATGATCTGAATGTTTCTTCCCTGAAAAGAAAATATCATCGATCCAAATCAAGTGTTTCTCATCCAATATGAAAGCAAAGAGTGACACATGCAATCTCATCACACGACTCGAAAAAACAAGTTGTGGAAGCACACAAATGAAACAGAATTTGTCGGCAACTTGTGTAATATTGTTTTTCATTACAAAGACGAACTTCCATGCTTAATAACTGATGTTAACTTATGTCATGACACTTCACACATATGCAACCTTATTTCCTTTTTTCACATCACCTTTTGTCATGCTGTGGGGTTGAAAACAGAAGTTTGGTCTTAGACCATTACTTTATAATTACAAAGAAAAAAAAAAAAAAAAAAAAAACAATGGTCTTGTTCTTCAATAAAAAGACGAACGTTTTGAAATGATGAATCTAATACAAAAGGTTTAACATAGTAAACAACACACGTAGGGAATATGATCACACTAAGAAAACCTTTACTTCGTCAGCCAAACCAACAAACAAAGCATATTAAAGAACTTTTGTTTTATTTTATTTTATTTTTTTATTCTTAAACTTGTTAAAGGGAAGCTGCCTCATTCTTATCTTTCTAGATATGCCTCTCGGCATCAGAGGTAACCACATAGGTTGTGTCATATGCTTGTGAATAGGACTTCTGATGCTTTGTTTGACACCCATGGACAAACATTTATGTGTAGATAACTAGATACACAAATACTAAAGATACACATACTAGATATACAAAGAGGCTTACCAGTTGACAGGTGTCCGATTGTTTGAAATAGCTATTTCCTGAGCTCTTAGCACAAAATATTGGTAGGCGTCATTATGAGTCATGTTATGGTCTATTAACCTGCATTTAAAAAAAATAAAATAATAAATAAATAAAATAAAATAAAAAATAAAAAAAATTATGATTACCATGGGAAAATTAGTCTAATGCCATGGTAGAAAAGTATATATTACAAAAATAAATACAGGAAGAGGGATAAAGAAAGAGAGTGGGATGAAAGGAGGGAAGGGGAGAGAAAGAAGGCACTGCTTGTCTTAATAAAGTTTAAAACTTCATTTCCCTCAACAAATGACCACAGACAAAGTATTGGTATCCAGACAGATTTAGCCAAGAATAAAATGTTGATCAAGACGTAAGAAATTCATCATCGATCTAATTTTCCTGGAAATTTATTCCTCAAGCTTACAAGTACTACAGCCCTTCTGGTA